CTCTTCAGTGACAGTGCGCATCCACGACTCCTGCATCCTGCAGGACGAAACGGCCGTCATTCAGTGCTTCCAAGTTTCTAATGGTGATCTAACATTGATCGATTAATGGTTTCAAAAATATCTCTTCTAGTTTAGTTTTTAATTATGCCTAACAAGCAAACGGTATTAGGTTCGACTTCCGGATGTGATAAGTACATTCAACTGACGAACTTTATTAATAAATAAATTTGGTAAAATGCATGTCTCCTGAATATCACACGGCCAATCCTCATACACTCATGCTAAAAATGATAGTATTGAGGTGTGTAGTGAATATTTTCAACTTTACCCGGGAAAAGGATCTAGGATTTTTATGTCATCCAGTAAAGGGGTTTATTTTTAAACCTCTAAGAAGGTTAAATACGAGTGAGAAGTCTCATACAAAGAAAAACATCTATCCAATGTACTCTGATTTCAATTACTCGAACGGCTTAAAAACGATAATTATTGAGAAACTGAATTCGATTTCTGGCAGTAGGGTCATGGATGCGCATTCCTGAAGAGTTTCAATACTAAGGGACAATCACCGGTTGCATCTAAGATCAATTCGTAATTTAAACCATGAAACTCTTACAGTCTATTGACATTACTGTTAGGATATTCATCAAATATTCTAAAGAAATTATTTTGTGAGTCTAATTCTATTGGCCAGTATTTAAGGTGGTCCTAACCACCAAGCTCACACACTTTAAGTGTTGTTTCCTATTGGTCAGTATTCACAGTTGACCTAACTCTATGAATATGCATTGTATGTAAAGTTTTATGATCCTTCTTCTTTTTCTGTACAAAACCTCATATTTTCTGGGTGCTTGTAGTAGAATACACTTTCTACGTCTTGTCAAGACTTCTTTTACTCAGTGGGGGCTTGGAACGGTTGGATTAGAATAGTAGTCTATCATGTCACTGGGTCATTTGTCTCCGCTCTCGTTTATCGACTAAGGTGAACTCGTACTAGTTCAATCATTTCAATTGACATGCATAACAATTACCTCAACTATAATGAAGCACTCTGACTGGCTCATTCCTAATCAATCAGTGCTATCGGGTAGCTGGACAAGATTCGAGAATATTCTTGTATAAAATTTATATATATATATATATATATATATATATATATATATATATATATATATAAGGCTCGAGTGGCTTTTACCAACTTATGGAGCAGGCGAAATATCCGCCTGTTAACCATAGGACGAGTGTACTGCGCAGCATTTTGCTCCGTCCTACTATACGGATGCGAAACATGGCCGTTAAGAGTAGAGGACATTCGTAGGTTACTAGTCTTCGATCATAGGTGTATCCGAAGCATTACTCGTGTATCATGGGACAACCGAATGAGAAATGCTGTCGTTAGAAAACGAGTACTAGGTAAAGATAGCAAAGCATTAGGTGAAGTATTGAAACTTCATCAGTTGACGTAGCTGGAACATGTGTTGCGTATGTCTAACCACCGACTGCCTCGACAAGCTTTGTTTTGTAGTGTAGGAATAGATTGGAAGAAAGTTAGCGGCGGCCAGACCGAAACATGGCACAAATCCATGAAGTTCCTGACAAGTGGACTGAGTCATGTTGGTAGATGTAGGCTATCAGGTTGGGGTCCACGAGACGAAAGTCATCAGTGGTTATAGACCTTGAACGGCATGGATCAGAATCGTTTGCAATAGCGCAGATGCATCCTCTCTTTGTGTTCCCTCTAATTTTAACCTTCTGCATTCCTCATAATCTCTACGTTTCTTCTTCTAAATTTATCTCACTGAACTATACTTTTCGAATCATATCTTCGCTCCCTAATCTTCTCCATTGCTGCTAATACTTCTACTATCGCTACCACTATTGGATTTGAACTGACATTTACGTCTCTGTGCTAATGTGGTATAGCAACCTGAACTGATGTACTTATGTACGAAGTTCTGCGTTGTATCTGTCTGTCTGTCTATTTATAAAAACGTTAGTAACGTTTTTATGATTATGATTCCTTCACATTCAACTTGGTTTGTTGTTGTTGTTGTTGTTAGAATGTTGTAATAATCTACCTATTCAAGTTACTTTTTTTTGATTCTGGCGACTAGTTGAGGTGTGGCACAGCGTTACCAAAAAACATACTAAATTATAAGAACACCTAGATTCGTTTGTATAAACAAGAGTTCAATCAGAAAATGACTTTAGCTAACATTCTCCATTCTCCAATTACCACTAACTAATATATTCATAACATTATGAATGAATACTAATCTAAATAAACCATGAATTATCAAAAATGTAGGTCATATTATATATATAGTTCAGTTCGAGTGTTTCGCTTCTTTATGGGACAAGTTTATCCATAATTTGGTTTACTCTTGATGTAAATAAAGTAGTAGTGATCAAAATGTAAACAAGTGATGCGAAAACATTGCGTAGTGTAAATTTTCAAAGGAGATGAAGGTTAACAATGCTTGTACCATTTCATATAACTTTTAACAAGATCTAGGATGAAGGGCAAATATGGACAGACTGGAAAGAAGGACACCTGATCAAGATACCAAAGAAAGGTGATCATCTTAGCAAGTTTGAGAACTACAGAGGCATCAGTCTTCTTTCAGTACCAGGCAAAATCTTTAATAGGGTATTTTTAAACAGAATGAAGGACTTCGTAGATGCTCAACTTCGAGATCAACAGGTGGATTTGGTAAGGATCGATCGTTTACCGGCCAAACTGCAACATTATGGATCATTGTGGAACAATCAATTGAATGGAACTCACCACTGTACATCAACTTCATCGACTACGAGAAAGAATTAGAAAGTGTGGACAGGAAAACACTATGGAGGCTTCTTCGACGCTATGGTGTGCCTGAGCAGATAGTCAACAGCATACGGAATTCTTATGGGCGATTAAACTGCAAAACCGTGGACGAAGGGCAGCTGAAAGACTCGTTCGAGGTGAAGACTGGTGTCAGGCAGGGTTGCTTACTCTCACCCTTCCTCTTCCTACTGATGGTCGACTGGATTATGATGGCAACATCTGGAGGAGAAAACGGTATTCAGTGGACAGACAGGATGCAGCTGAACGATCTTGACTTTGCAGATGATCTGGTTCTTCTGTCGCACACGCAACAACAAATTTCAGAGAAGACAACCAGTGTCATAGCAGTAGGTCTCAACGTACATAAAGGGAAAAGTAAGATTCTCCGATGTAACACAACATGCACCAACCAAATCACTCTTGATGGACACGCCTTGAAGGACGTTAACACCTTTACATATCTGGGTAGCATCATCATCAACGAGAAAGGTGAATCCGATGCAGATGTGGAGGCGCGGATTGTCAAAGCAAGGGCTGCATTTCTACAGTTGAAAAATATCTGGAACTCCAAACAACTCTCAACCAAAACCAAAATCAGGATTTCCAATACAAATGTCAAGACAGTTGTACTGTATGGATCGGAAAATTGGAGAACTACGACAGCCATCATCCAGGAGATACAAGTGTTTATTAACAGTTGTCTACGCAAAATACTTTGGATTCGTTGTCCAGACACTATCGGCAACAACTTACTTTGGGAGAGAACAAACCAGATTCCAGTAGAGGGCCAAACCAGGAAGAGGAGCTGGAAGAGGATAGGACACACAATGAGAAAAACACTGCGTCACTGGATAAACCATAACTTGGAATCCTCAAGGTCAGAGGAAAAAGAGGAAAGCCAAGGAACACATTACCCCGAGAAATGGAGACAAACATGACAGGAGTGAACAACAATTGGACAGAAGTGGAGAGGGAAGCCCAGGACAGAGTTGGTTGGAGAAAACTGGTCGGCAGCCTATGATCTAATGGGGGAAACAGTTGGACGTAAGTGAGTACACATAATTCTAACTTTTGGTGAATTCATTGATCGGTAGATATGTTATTATCTAGACATTCCCGACTTAATACGTTGACCGATGGAGTAAGCTGGTGTAGTTGATCACTGAGGGAATTCAATCAATAGTCATGACTACGTTCTCTCTATGAAACAAATTTCCAATGTGGACACATTAATGTTATGTTCGTCACTAGGTACGCTTGAAGTTATTACGAGCTCACCTTAGTCGATTAACGCGAACGAGACAATTACCAGAGTCCAGGTAGGCTACATTGTATACCGAATCGGAAAACAAGACTTGGTAGGCGTATAAAGTATATTCTACAAACACCCAGTAATCACAATACAATCAAGCGCACAACTCTCGTTTATTTATACATCATAGAAACATCCTTGAGACAGTTACGAAAATAGCACACTAAAGTACACAGTAGCCAATCACACCCATGGATTTTCCTGGCTGATCCATGGCTGATCTCAAGGTCAACTGAACAGCCCATGCCCGCAAACATGAAATCCAAAATAAGGCATTTATCAAGCGCGTTCTGGGGACCTAACATCCCCAAAAATTAAGCATAACAGATTGACTTCACAAAGAATTTTTAAACATCCAGTATATAAATACACTGCCTAATTATTGAATATTTGAAAACTCTTATCAATTCTAATAATAAACAGGTGATTAGCATAAACTTGAATGTCTCATCTTTGAATCATTAATCAAGAAAAGTTAGGAAATCAGAAAATATGAACAGTAAATTTTTTCGCACTTTTAAACCATCAATCAGTCATTGTTCGACTACCATTAGAAACCTAGAGGCACTGAACGGCTTTTTCCTTTTTGGTATGAGACTCATTGGCAGTGCGTATTCATCCAGAAGTTAGGCAATCGCACGCAAGACTAAAGGTCTTGGGTTCGGATCCTGCGAGTAGCAAGAGTCGCGGATATGCACTGCTGCTGATGAGCCCTGTACCAGGAAGAAACGGCCGTTCAGTGCTTTCAGGTTTCTAATGGTGGTCTATAACAACGACTGATTGATGACTTCACTGTGTGCAAAAACACTAATCTCCATAACTCCGATTGAAAAAGTATATTTTTTCTACATCTTAACTTACCCCAAACAAGTGTAAGATAATCGTTCACATTTCCAAATTTACCTAAAAATTTTAAAAAATAAATTAGATAACGAACACCTTCAAATAAAAACTCGATTTATGTAACTGTCATTGTTTGTAAGTAAATATTTTGTAACTAAGTCAAAATCACCATGTATGATGTTGCTAACCCGTCCTGTTTTCTTTCTATTTAAGGGTGATCAAACACAAACGCTTTGGAAGCTGACGAACAAGCCCTGAGTGCTGTGAACTTACAGGATGACTTATAAGACTTTGGTACACTACCCACCCTATTTCTGTAACAACCCCGCGTATTTAATTTTTAAATAAAAGAGTACCGTGGCAACCATTTCGTGTTCTCTCTTGGTGTGAGGTGTTAAACTAACCTTGTGTGTTGTGATTTTAGATCCTCTCCGCCCTTCAGTGACTGCTGATTACACTTGTTACAATATATAACTTGTAGAATAAATATTCTTACAGAATAGATGAAATTTGGCCGGCAATGAATGAATCTAGGAGACAGGTTTCGTCCCATTTTTAAAACTCGTCAGTTGGATACACCTGCACATTGTAGTGTTGATGTTTACAACATAATATTGGCTAAAAATAAGGGCGATCCTTTATCGAATACGTTGTATCACCTCACATACGCTGGAGTTTGTTTATGTTAGATTTGGCTAAGCCCTTTAGATTAACTTATTTAACAGACAGAGTCATTCATGTAGCAATTAACTTATCTGCACGATTATGCTTTTATTATTGTCACGTTTGCATGAACAGGTATGATTGAGCATCGCTTACCACCTACTTGCTGGCCTCTTAAATAATGAGATGTATTTTCCTATATAGTATTGTATATGTACATTTTAATCTTATTCACCAGTCTGCACACTCGCTCTCCAGCTCTTCCGCATTCAAATATCATTTTCGCTTCTTGTCCCTACAGTTTTGTGATCTCTGTGTGTGGTGCAATAATCAACATAATCGACGCTTTGTATCCGCGTTCTGAATCGTATACACCGTTGGACGTTATCTAGTAACGGTGATTAGGACTAGTAGTGTACAAAGTTTAGGATTCATCATACTGAGTACCAACCGCCAAAGAATTGGTGATCCTACATTCACCACAGTATATATATAAATGACAGTCAAGACTGATAAAATTCCCAGTTGAAAAGGCAGGACACAAAAGGTTCCGCCGTAGTTATTGTCAGCTGTTCGAGTTGCTTGTGGAACACCTGTCGCATCAGACACTTATTTCGCTTGGGCATCAACTTCACAAACCAACACCAGTTACCAAGATAGACACTCTCATTGTCGAAAAACTCTATAGGAAACTGACTCTCACTTACTCCTATCCTCAAGTGTATTAGTCCCATTTTAGTTCCTGTCCGGATTCATGGTATAATTATACAAATATGACTGTTTCAGTTTAAGTGTAATGTTTGTCAGCCAGACATAGGCTCTATAGTATTGGAAGTTAAAATTGGATTCAGTGGTATGAGAGTTTATGATTTCATTTAATCGTTTACAGAAATAGACATTAGAATGAGAAACAAAATAACAAGGTGATGAGGAGAAGGCTAGCATGCCAACTTTGTGACTAACTATCGATAAGTCAAAACGATACACATAGATGCTTAAATAAAAAAAAACAACCCAAGATATGAGCAAGTAATTGACAAAGTCAAAATACGCGTGAATAAAAACATGACACAAAACAGATTAATATTCATTATAGAGTTCTGTGATAGTTGATTTTAATTGGAAACAGAAATTATTGATTGTTAGACCACCATTAGAAACCTGGAAGTACTAGATGGCTGTTTCGTCCAGGTATGGGACTCATCAGTGGCAGTGCGCATCTATAACCCCTGTCCAAGGGAATTAAATCCAGGACCTTCGGTCTGGCGTTTGAACGCTAAGCCTCATTATGGCATCCGACGGTGTCAATTCCCAGTTTCATCCAATCCAAGGTATTGTGCAACCTCAGTCATCGTTCTCGGTAGGTAACTCCCTATACCGAGCAGGGTTGAACTCCATTGTTCCAGGCCTCTCGCTAGACATCCGAGAATATCCTAACCTAGCCAGTCACTAGTGAGCAGAAAGGTCAAAGTCAGATATTAACACCGTCGGATGCCATCTCAGTGATCTAGAGGTTAAGTGTTTGCACATATGAGTTAGGTTCCTGGGTTAAAATCATAGATGTGCATCATAGATGTGCACTGCTGGTGAGTCTCACAGAAGGAGGAACCGCAGCGTAGTGCTTCATGTTTTCTAACGGTGGTTTAACATTGACAGTAGGACCAAACCGCCGCCCAGTGGTCCCAGGATTCTGATGGCGGTTTAACACCGACCAGCTCATGATTTCAATCAAGAACAGATCAATCGGTTTTGTTTTAATGACACACTACAGTCGATACATCCATCCGACGAGTGCCGAATAAGCCGAACGGAACACGCTTTCTAAATTTCACCATTTTAACTAAATTCAATCAAAATATTCACTAAAAAAATGCATACTACTTACAATCTTTTTGATCATTCTTAGTAGTATCAATAGATTTCATTTCAATGTCAACACAATCATCATTGGTTGTCACATCGTCACATTGATTATTTGACGATGTGGATGATGAAGACGACGACGAGGAGGAATGACTAATGTCAACTGATATAAAATCAGAATCTGTTGATGGGGAAGATGAGGTTGGTGTTGTTGTTGTTGGCGGAGGTTGAGGCGGCTGCGGAGTAGTCTGTGTTGGTGTGACTTTATTCCAAGTAGCAGTATCCTTGGTCGTTTCATCATTTTTTGTGATGCTTAACATTGTTCTATGATTATTATCATTATCAGCGCTACTACTACAATTCAAATTATCCTCAACAATAACCACATCAACATCATTTAAACGATGTTGACATGGATTATCATTAATATCACAATAATAATTATTATCTTGAACATGATTATCATCAGCCTCATTCATATTGTCCAATTTCAATTGATACTGTTCAATATCTGTTAATAAACAATCATCAATGTATTCATCTGTCGTACAATGTTCATTGTTCAATTTTTTATTACAACGATATTTAGCATTCCGAGGATGATAATGATGATTCATTCGTCTAGCATTCTTGGGATAATAATATTGATTATTATTATTATTACTAATAATACGATTATGATTATTATGATTATTATTCCAATCGGTATGAATACTAAAACTTGATTGACTACGTTTTAATAATGATGTTAAAGGAGGATATGTTGTTGTCGATGAGGAGGAATAAGTGAATGGAACTCTTGATCGATTATTATTATTGTAGTAAGAAGCACCACGATAATAACCACGAGGATAAGAATAATTTCGATTAGATACAGTGGGATGACCACGATTATTATTATGATTATGATAATACTGATTCGTTGTTTTACCATTATTGTCTACCTCGTCAACATCATAGACAGTAGTGAAGTTAGTATCACCACTTCCATAGCCAGTTGGTGTAGAATGATGATAATATTTCATTAGATTAGAATGATAATGATGATAGTTTCCATAGTAACGTCGACCAAATATATTTTTTTGTACATAACCATGATCAATGGGTTCCACTAAATTATATGAAAAGAGCATACAATTGATTGGAATAAGTGAATATACAATGTATTACACTTTATTTAGATATATTTGAAACTGTTAAAAACTTTTAAAATTATTTATTCATACAATTAACATCGCATACCGTGGCTGGCGGTTTTGTCCTAGTGTGGGACTCATCAGTAGCCGTAGGTATCCTGACCATCGCGCACGGGGGAATCGAATCCAGGAGCTTCTGTCTCGTGTACTGCTGAAGAGTTTTATACTAGTTAGAAATGGCCAATCAATGCTTTCAGGTTTCTAATGATTGTTTAACAATGACCGATGCAAAAATAATTTCCATAAATCTATAATGAACTCTTTTGGTATTGTATTTATTGAGAATTTTTAGAGTGTTATCACGATTATCTACAGGAATCAAAAGATTTGAAAGTTACTCGTAGGATTTGAGCCTAGGACCTTCGGTCTTGCGCACGAACGGCTGACCTTCACACCATTGGGTTGGCATACTGTCGTATTCATTTCTGACTCTGAAAGATCGAGAGATTTTGCACGACTTCACCCATCAGCCATCGATAGGTAGTGACTGCCTATATAAATACATCTGTTCAGCTGAAAGTGTCACATTATGACTTGTTTTAATTGAATATTGAAATGTCAAGTAAAGTGTACTGATTAAAGGGGATTTGGGGCGATTGTATTACGCGGTGATGGATGACAGGTTAAATGGTCAATAACAGCCAATCAAGAGATGGAGGTCGACAAGGCCAGCTATGAAGAAATTTAAATACTTCGATTTCTTCTATCTGAAGTTTGTGCTGCTAATGTTGTATTCAGAAGAGCAATAAAAAATTCACAACCTAAAATATCCAGCTCAGAGAATATCTTCAAGATGAATTCCTGGAGTTCTAACAAGGAATAGTAAGCAGTGGTGTTCAACCGGGGTCAGGTAGGAGACAGTAGTTGTTCTCCGCAGGCAATAGATGAAAGTCACTCATGATTATGGACTGATAGAAATTAGACACGTGTTCATGACCGAAACCGAAAATCTTGGATTAGATTCCCAAGTGCGGACTACTAAATATGTCACATACTAGTCTATCCAACACTTCTAGGTTTCCATGTAGTCAAGAACAGTTCGTGATTTTACTGCCAAAATAAATGATTCACACATAATAACCTGATTGAATTTATAGATTGATTTTCAAAAATTTGACTATTTTATTCAGCTGACCTTGATCTACTCCAAAATCAGTTTAAAAAATAAAGACTGTATGTATTGAATATGTAAAGTTAAAAACTCTCTTATCCAATACTGTTTTTTAATTGAAATGACCAAAAAGAAAAGCATTGTTTTACTTACTTCCTTCATAGATCACATCTCCACGTACCCAAGGAGTAACAGGTGTATTATCGTCTATTTGTAGTAAATCCAATTGACTAGAATGTAATGAAGTAAAATCTGATTTCTTTTTTGAAATTGGCGCTGTACAATTGGAAAATTGATCAAAGTTTGAGATCATTTTCGTTCGCTTTTTCTAGATAGGGAGGCAAATATTCGATTGATTAATAAATAGTTGAAGTAGTTAATTTTCAACTAAAAAATCCAACATTGATCGATTCAAGATTTTATTAAAGTCACTCAACAATCCCTTACAATTTTACTTCAATGTGCTCACTAGTAAGTGAATAGAGCTCTGTGCGAAAACTTCTCCCAGTTCTAGTGAGAATTTGACACCAGTCGTGTTCAACCTTATACGGATGTGAGGCACTGTTCACCGAAGACAATAAGTAGGGTTGCACAAGACCGTGGATTGATCGAAGATAGACATGAACATCACTGAATGTCGGTTTCGTGGTTCAGATTTTAAGCGTTTACACAAAAGACCGAAAGTCCTGGATTTCACTCCTGTGAGTGGTGTGAGTCTTGAATGTGCACTGTCACTGGCGAGTCCCATACACTAGGACGAAGCGGCCTTCTTCCAGTACTTCCAGGTGTCTAATGGTATCCTAACTAACACTGATCTATTCATGACTTCCAAGTTGAGGTGGTTGGGGCATGTGTTACGAATGCCTAACCACCGACTGCTTCGATGAGTTATGTTTTGTGGTGTAGGAGTAGGTTGGAAAAAAGCTAGGGGCGGCCAAACCAAAACATGGCAGAAATTCATGAAATCACTGACAAGTGAACTGAGTCATGTTGGTAGATGTAGGCTATCTGGTTGGGGCCCGCGAGACGAAAGTCACCAATTGTTAGAGACCTTGAACAACATGGCTCAAAATCGTTTGCAATGGCGCAAGTGCATCCATTCGTTGTGTTCTCTCAAATCCTAATCTTCTGGAATCGTCAGCACCTCTACCTTCGTCTTTCTAACCTTATCTCACTGAATTATACTTCTTGAATGATATCTTCAAACCCTAGTCTTCTTCATTACCATTAATACATCTACTATCTTTATCACTATGGGATTTGATCTGACATTTGCGTCTCTGTGATAATAATGTGGTATGACAACATGAACTTATGTAGATACATACGTACGAAGTTCTACGTTGCAACTGACTGACTGACTAATATATATTCTTCAATTCTCTACATTCTCAGATGATACAATTATTTCAGTAGTATCAGTCAACTAGAACAATTCAGTAATTATTCATAAGAATGAGTCAGTCAGTAGTAGTAACTCAATGATTGCGTACTTTTATGTTACAGCAATTAGTTTAACATTCACACCCAAAATTTATTGATTTTCCGTTTGTCCATTCAAGTATTCAAATCAATAATACATGTTAAATGATATAAAAAATTTTTAAATGTTATTTAGTTGTTTTGTTATCTATTAATAAGTTTACATCGTTAGAATCATTGAATTTAGTTAGAGTAGAAAAAAAGACCATTTTATATCACAGAGTTTAGATAAACAACTATTAGAATTCAGGAAAATCCAGGATAAGACTTTTTCTTCAATAGTGCGTACGTACAGTGACACCAAGAATAGAATCACGGACCTCATCGAACCCTCTGAAGGAAACGCTTTTAAGCTTCAGACCACTTCATGATGAGATTTTGTGAGGTTTATTGTTTTACGCCATGAGTATCGTCTATCATACTCCAGAAGTGTTTGAACACAGATGAGATACTAGGCTTTTTCATGGAAATTCGAGGTTAATTGCTTATTAAAGTTTTGAATGAACTCTGATGTGCAAGTAAACACATTAGGACTAAACAGCTAGCTGTCTAACTCTTCAATGATTTTAATATTTATCTAAATAATGTTATTCCCCTTGAATATCTAAGTATTGCTCACATTTATTGACAGCTTAACTAAATTGGTAGGATAAAGATTGACTGTGAAGTTGATAATGCGTTTCTTTCTACCAGGAAGCACTGAAAGACGACCGTTTCATCCTAATATCTGGGGCTCATCAATGTCAGTGCGTATCCACAACTCCTGCTACTCACAGGATTCGAACCTAGAAACTTTGATCATGCTCACAAACGCCTAACCTGAAATTATTGACTATATTATCTCAAGTTTATCACTACTAAACACAGTTGAACAATTGTCTGATTTTTGATAGCAGTCGGTATGCAAATTTGTAAAGTTTTAGTGTATGAAAAGAGCAGAAAATTAAAAAAATTTATGCAAACTTGACGAATCAAAACTTTTGAAATTCATATATATTCGATATCGAAAAACATTTTCAAAGTTGTTTCATAATTGTTTATCGCTCTCTTTATCCATTTTTCGATACGAACTTTAGACAAAGTTGTAATAAGTTTATGATGTATGTACACGAGTTTAATTTATTCGAAATTAAATCAGTCACTTAAACAAAAGTCAATTGTTATTATCAAATAACACGTAGAAGTGACCTTTGGAAAACTAAATAATATACGACAAGGACACAGTAAACTGCTACTCCAAGCCTGATTAACTTGACCCAATACAAACTAGTTAGTCCTGAATGTGGAGAAAGAATACAATTTCAATGATCGTCAGTTCAAGTTAGATCAAAGATCAAGATAATTTGTATTAGGATTTTTCAGTTAGATTTAGCTTTGGAGATTTGTGTTTCTACACATTTGAAATCATTAATCAATCATTGACAGACCATGAATAGAAACTTGGAAGCACCAGACGGCCGTTTCATCCTGGTATGGTGGGACCCATCAGCAGTGCGCATCCACGACTCGTGCACCAATGGAGTTCAACCCCGTCGGGTGTAGGCAGTAACTACTCACCGAAGAAAAATGGGCTAGGTCACGCAAAATCCCTAGACCAATCAGAGTTAGACATTAACACCGTTGAATGCCGGCTGGCCCAGTGGTCTGATGATTAGGCTTTTGCGCATAATACCAGAGGTCCCTGGTTCGAATCCTGCGAGGGGCAGGAGTCGTGGATGCTCAGTGCTGATGAGTCCCGCCATACTAGGACTTGACGGCCATTCAGTGCTTCCAAGTTTCTAATGGTGGTCTAACAATGATCGACTGAAAACATGCTGAGAGGAAAAAGGTTTAAATCACTTCATCGTTTAGAGGTGAAACAAATGGCCTAATCTTAATCCATAGACTAAAAACAGCCAATAGCGAAAACATACAATGTTGCTAAACTGATTATAATTGAAAAGACTAATCCCATGATTTCACATAGACCTAAATGTCGCTCGAATTATTACATCACATCCCATTGCATTTGTCAGTTCACGTTTGTGTGGACACACATACATAGGGAGAAGTGATCGGACTTTGCAATCAAGGGTTATGGAACATGTACCTAAGTGGCTTCAAAATCAATTAACGTCAGATGAGCCGATAAACGTGGGAAATATAAAACCATGATCATTGATCACAAAACACATAATTGAGACAGGACATCAAGATTGACATCAAGACAGCCGTCAAAACATTGTATAGAAATGTTGAAGAACGAATTTTTTAGGTTTATGGAGGCCTTGACTATTTGTAAATTAAAATCCCCCTTATGTGTATAGAAACAATTTGTTATAACCTTCAATTTACCCTGGTAATCTTTAAGCCTAGAGGGGTAATGTGACAATTTTCCCACCCTTTATTTTATCTTATCTTTCTCTCTCCTTTATTTACAATTATTACCTTATGTCTATTTGAACTTTTATTGAATTGACCTTTGATTAATCTTCATATAAAATGCCATGACAAGTAAATATATGTGACCAGATTGTTCGAAATGTATAGTGCGCAAATACATCACATTTTTCAGATCAGTTACGTCTTCTCACTGTTCTACACTGAGATAATGGTTCTGTGCAACTTCATCCATCGTCTCCGGTTAGTTACTGCCTAAACCCTATAGAGTTGAACTCCAGTGATCACGACTTTTGACTAGAACACTGAGTAATTTCCTCACGAAGCTAGTTACTAGTGTGGAGATCGTTGCTGATACACACTGAAATCATAAATGAATCATTGTTAGACCAGCATTAAAATCCTGGAAGGTGAAACATTCACGTGCAAGACTGAATGTCTTAGGTTCCAATCCCGTGAGGAGTGGGACGCTCAGTGACACTGATGAGTCCCTCAACTGGTCGTCATACTATAACAATGAATTAAACTAATTAATCTTTACTACAATTATAAAGATAGATAATCTTGAAAAATAAACTAATTACTATTAAGGTGAGAGAGAAATTGAAATTCTCATATTTCATTAATCTCTTCATCAATTGAGAACTTTTTCTCTCTTAAATAAATAAAAATATACATGCACTATGCGTACACTAACTAACTAACACATGAACATATTAGAGAGAGTAATTTGTTTAACAAGTATAGAAAAATTACAGTGCAACAAACAAACTAAGTTCATTTTCACATTGAACATTGATACCTTTTATTTTATTATTGAACATTTGAAAAGTTTGTTCAATAATTCAATAGGTACGGTAAATGGATAACAGAAAATTAGAATATTCACTATTTAAAAGTATAACATGATTACATTAATTGTGTTATGATTATCATTGATTTCGGGTTGTTAAACAGTGCTAGTAGGTCTCAGTATAATAAATAGACAAAGAAACTCAAAACAACTATCGACGAACACTAGTCACAATTTTCAAGATACAGGTGTTTATTAACAGTTGTCTGCACAGACATTATCCACAACAATCTACTGTGGGAAAGAACCGAGCAGAATCCAGCAGAGGAAGGAATTCGAGAAAAGTTCTGAAGGTGGATGGGACACATTGAGGAAAGCACCAAACAGCATCATGAAGTAGACCCTATCTTGGAGTCGTGAAGGTGAAATGAAAATAGGTAGGTAGACCAAGGAATACACAGTTTCGAGAATTAGTGACAGAAATGAAAAGAATGAATAGCAATCGGGTATAAGTGTAAGGGAGTCCAGAATGGACTTATTTGGAGAATGGTGGTCAATAGCCTCCGCTACAAGAGGAGTAACAGGCCTAAGTAAGTAAGTAAGTAAGTGAAAATCACTTAGAAACTGTGAACATGAGCCTCATCTTCAGTTATAAGTCG